CGAGGCCCCAGAGTCAACCGCCCCAAGAGGCGACGCGGGGGCAGCGACTGCCTCAAGCGCTGGCGTGAGTCCGGATGACGCCATGACCCAGGCGAGAGGTGGCGGAAAGGACAGCGGGGAACACAGAAAATGACGGGCGAGCCGAGATGCTGCTCGGCCGCCCGCCTAACCTTGTTCCTGCACGCACACGTGCGTTACACAACAATTCAGCTATGCTCAGCTTACTCCCTACACAAATTTGGGCCCGAAGTCTTTTGTAAGACGCAGCGAGGCATCACCCAGTTTGGGGTCTGCAAGTGGTGCTTCGGCAAACCTTTGGCCGACTACTTTCTCCACAGGGGCACGTTAACACAATACGCGGAAGAAGTTGCAGCGGCTCAGCATTGGAGCAGCGATTCCTGGTAGAGCAATTCAACCATGCTGGGCGGCAAAGCGGTCCCGTGCCAAATCCGGACATGCGAAATCGTGCCATCCTGCCGCAGTCAAGTCGCACCTACTTCGCTTCTAACACGAAACTATTGCCCTGAACCTGCCCGAAGAACCGGCGAAGATAGCCCCAAACTGCAAAAGCAGCCTAACAGCTGGTCCATAAAGTTCTCCGAGATCATGGAGCGGCCAAGGAATGCATTACGCAGCAGTCTCTTTGCTCTCACTCCTGCATTGAGCTGCAGCCATTGCTGTACAGACACCAACACCTTCACGAAACCCCAACAGCTCAGCCCTGAGGTGTGTTGCTCCCAAGGATGAAGCCTCACCATTGCCGCTTAAAACCTTTTAACCAATGCCATTGCCGCTTAATACCTTGTAAGACTCCGAAATGCCTGGCTTCACTTTAGCACCGGCGTTTTGTGCTGCGTTTCGGAATCCGCCCGTGCGTCTTGACAGTCCTTCCGGGACGCTTCCAGCCAACACCCCGTTGATATACATGATCGTTGAACCAGGTTCAGAGGTTGCGACTATATGGAACCAGTCACCCAGCGAGATGGGCTGGTCTGCCAATACTCTGGAAAGCTGCAAGGGGCTTTCTCGAACCTTGGCAACAGAGCTGACTGCTTGCAGGGTTAAAGCTTCCAGCCCCTAAAAAATTCGGCATTTCATCTGAAAGCGTCGCTCTTCCACAAACATGTTGCGATCACGTCCATTGTTGTTTGTGCATAACAGGTGCAGACACGATACCACAAACATCGTGTAGCTCATAATGGAAAACAGATCATTGGTTCGCCCATCCTCCAAGAGCGTGCCGAGTGCAAGGACAGCTGCTTGATTCGCATACCTTGACACAATGTAGGAGTCAACGAAAACAGAATCAGGGCCACTCCAAGTGCCACCATACGACAAAATGGCAGAATCTCTCAAAGGAACTGTTCCTTGTGCATGGGAGCCTAGTGCGAAGCGCCAAGACACGTGTTGTAGCGCACCCGCGTCTCAAACGTGACTGGCCCGGCCCATTCCCAGGGATCGATTTCAACGTAGGCTTCTTGGCCGTCGAGGGAGATGCCACACTGGTTGCAGCTCCTTGGGTTTTGCATGACAGGTGACACTGCAGCTCATGACTTCTGCCGTGGCTGGCATGGCTCGTTTGCAGGCTCGTCTCGCGCCACCTCGAAGGTGAGCCACGGGCCCACCATAAGCATCGCAGACCTCGTCAGAGGCACCGCGGAAGTCCCAAAAATGGTCGGGGCGTAGAATACCTGCAGGTGTGGAGACTCAAGCAAGGACAATCGCGCGAGATTGCGCAGGCTCGCACCTGAGATCATTATCCCAAGGTGGACGGAGAAGCCAGCACGAAATCCGTGCGAAAGCACCTCTACAGCTGTTGCTGAAGCGAGAGTGCAGGCATGCGCAGATGCAACTGACAAGTTCAGCGAACTATCCAGCAAAATACCATCACGAAGCCTGCCGCTGTAATTTGCTTTTCTCTACGCGGCGTCGCGGACCGCAGCAGTGGGGTGTGTGGGGAGACATTGCATCAACAGATATGGCCCATGGCACACATGTTTTTCATTGTTTTCCGTCATACGCCGAATTTCAGAGCTTCTGGTGACGCGTCCACACGGGTTGGAGTCAGCCGTCCCTTTCACGGGTTTCTCCCACCTGGCGATCATCTTTGGCCAGAGTGACACTGTCGTTCAGCATCACAAGTCCTGCGTGGAGCAGGATCAACTTAAATCGAAGGCTTGTGCGACAAGAAGGTATAGCACGTACTTGACTGAAGGGCAAGTAGGCAGGTGCGAACTAGAGAAGCATGAAACCTGTCCAAGCTTGTCAAATGGCATACCACTTTCCGCGGCCACACGGCGATACAGCTCTGTACTGCTCCTCAGCTATGCAACTCAAAGTGTAACAGCGTTCTAGCTTGGGTGCTTGTTTGAGAGTTGCCACGAGCTACGAGGAAAAGCATGGTGGTTGGGAAAAGCAGAACTGTATTGGGAGACGATGGGGTGGCTAAACCCCCAAAGCAACATTCGGAGGGCAAAACTCTGAAAACTAAGAGAGAAGCCCACGATCCAACAGGAAACGAAGGGCGGTAAATAAGCTCAGAAGGCAATGATAGAACCCGAAACATCTCTGTAGCACGAGGTACCTACGCGAGTAGATGAGCGAAGCAGAACATTCGGAGGTTTTTTGGTGCATGTCAGCTGAATCCAGCCAGAGCACTGCTGCACGTGGAAGTCAAACTCGAAAATTGTTTTACCACCAGAGCTCACGATGAGCACTCGGCTGCTGCCCCTGGAGAGCCGAGGCTTTTTCTTCGCAGCGCATCCTGTTGCATCCTGTGCCTGAAGGGTGCCGACAAGGACTCCAGATTCGCGAGCAGCTCGTCGTCAGGCGCTTTGGCCTGCGACACGCGCCGCATGTCAGGTCGGAAGACACGTGCGCAGGAGAAGCTTGCATGTCGACGCCTGGTCAGCATGCCTAGCACACCGCAATGCTTCTATGGCTTCGTCGAAGCGACGCCATGCCTCCTGCACAACAAACCCGCTTTCCAAGTGAGAAATTTGTCCGAGGTCACGCGACGTGTTTCCTCCTCAGTTGCCGCAGCATTGCGGTCCATATCAATCTTGGTGGATGCTGCGGCTCTTTCGCATCCTTCTCACTACTGGCACTGGGACCCCTGTGATTTCTCCTTGCACGATTGCAGACGCTCCTAGAGCAAAGCTGCGAAGACTCATGCACAAGACTTTGCACCCCTGATGCAGCGATGAAGCCAACTATAGCACACACAGCATAGAGATTTCGTTGCAGGGCAAGCTGCGAAACGAGAATCGGGAGGCTTAGACTGCAGGCGGCAAGGAGGTACAAGGACCGCGCTTTTCTCAATTTGGAGTTCGAGTTGAGGCAAGACGGCTGTCTTTGGCCGGCTGCATGGAATCGGCTGAAGCCCTTCAGTCCGCAACGGAAATGGTCCGAAAGGCCGCACAGAGCGGCTGCCCTGCCCCTAGCCCCATCGGCCATGCATCCCTGCACGCTCACTGTGGGAAAGCTCCTGCAGCCTGCCAAGACGGCGACTCGCTACATGCGACACTTGTTCTTGTGTGACATGTGCGAGAGCTGAGAAACCTTCAAAGCTATACGATTCCAGGACAGCTACATCATCGCTTCAATCGCAACACTCAGAACAAAAGCGTCAGCACGAAAAGCAAGTGGGAGCCAGTCGTGCCTGCTTCGATCGGTGCTCTTGCCATGTCGTGAGACACTGTAGATTGTTATGCAGACCGGCACCCTTGGCTCGTTGTAGATCCATACGGATCGAACTCCAGGAAATGGAATCTGCTTATTCATGCAAGACTCGCGGAGATGGCGTATAGAAGGAACATAAACCTGCGAGCCAGACGAGGTTACAGCCAGCCGAGAGCAGTGAAAAGAACTATCGGGGATCCCGCCAGAATGCCCACGACATCTTCTTCTTCTCCGCTGTGGTGACGATCACATAGAGAGAGAACACACAAAGCGCCGTCTGGCAAAACTGAATGTAAAGAGGAAGAAGATGGCATTGCAGGCAGCTGGGCAAACTCAGGTTACCGGGCCTTAAGCATGATCAAGGCCTCCTGAAGGAATGGAAGCTTCATGACAAGCCCTCCGCAAACATCCCATCTGGCCTTGGGAATGCGCCTCGGATTCGCCGCAAAGACCATGAGAGTCTGCGGCAGGTATCCAAAGCTTAATTTTCACTCAGCAAGTCACACCTGCAACACCACCCGAAAAGCGAGAAGGGCAACGGCCTGGGCAAAGATCATACCCGCAATGCCCACCACCGTCACACCGGTTCCCTCCTATGCGCCATGGCGCTTTGCGAAGCCCCACATTAAGTGTCAAGTGGTGCTGCTTTAGACGAAGCTCTCATGACGGATCCTTGTCTTGCCTCAGCTCCAGCTTCTTAGCTTGGACAACGAGGAACATTCCAATAATAGCCTCTTTCAGCAGGGGTTGGCATCATGTACACTGATCCGTGGGTTCCGAGGCCCACGAAGAAAGCTGCTCAACGCACACGGGCGCAGATATGCGCAGATGTTGCCTCCAGGATGGCTGGCACAACGAGACTCTGAAAGGCCTCAGACATGTCTGTCGCTCCGCGAGATGCTAGACATCACCCGACAAATCAGACAGTCTCGGGATGCAGCACCCCCCATGGCCGTCTTGCGAGGAGTTTCGGGCCACTCCTACTGCTCCTACATAGCAAACCGACAGTTACATGTAAGCCGAACCCAAGTCTCTGCAGTGAACAACGGTCCTTAGAGTCCTTGACGGCCCTTGATCCTTTGATCCATGTGCAAGCCAGACTCGGCGAAGCAAGCGACAAGATAAGGACTCGTTCTATGAAGGTGCCTTTTGAGCAAGACTGTCTTACAGTCTCATACTGCCACACGCATGCAGCGCACAAGGCTCGGGTTCAATCCTTTTGCGTCTGTCGACAATGCAGGAGGATTTCGCTTCAGGAAAGAGACAACAGACCCAGAGTACGCACACAAGCTTGCACCTGAGCCCTGAACAAACGGGGCTGCCATGGCTAGCAGCTATCATCACTCTGCTTGTGCTTGCTCACCCTGTGTCGGTTCTGCACCCACCGATCCGCAGCAGGCATGCAGCAAAACATAAGCTGCAGAGCACCTGTCGCCACATGCGGAACACGAACATGGGTTTAAATTAAAATGAACTCTTGCATACTGGATCCAGTGGAACGCCAACTCAAGGTGATGTCTGCAGCTCATTGCACACCATGCGGCTGGTGAAACATGGGGCTGCCAGAGATCTCGGAGCACTCCAAGGTCTTGTCAAACGTGGCGGCCTGTTTAAGGCCTACAACGGCCAGACCAGATCATGTGGGCAAAAGCCTCTTTAGAGCGACGGAATGCAGTTCAAAGAGAAAAGGATCACTCACCCAGGTCTCGGTAGATCCTCGCATCGCCCCCCAATCCCTGCAGCAGGCTGCGATTGTCTCGCAATGCTTTGCTGACTGGCATCACAACCTGTTGGTACTTACATAAACCTGCACGGCAAGCTCGCCTGGGCCCATGCTCTCAGCTTGTCGTACGCCACAACTCCGCACAAGACCTGGCCAGCACAGCAAAAAAGTGACTCATCCTAGTAGCCGTAGCTTTCCCCTTGAAGCGACGGTGACGCAGGACTCCCACCAAGTCAAGTCTTAGAAGCTCCACGCCTTCCCGGTCTTGCGGTTGAAGAGATATGGGACCCCACCACACTGGTTCCTGCAGCTAGCTCTGTGTTGCCGGGCAAGAACGGGCGATGTTATCAGGAACTTTTCTGGGCATCTCGTCGACGCATCCTCAAGTCGATTGTTGCCCGAAGCCTCTCGTTGAGTGGGTTATCCCACGCCTGGCACAGAACATCCAAAGCGACGACGGCTGCAACGTGATCATTTAAGTTGTTGGAAGCCCCAGTGACTGAAGCTATTTAAGCAACGCAACACGGTCTGCCAGTCACATCGTAAAAATACCCCGTGCCATCCGACACACTGCACAGAAAGAGACAAGGTGAACCTGAGCCACACCCGTGCCTCCAGCCAGACGATCTTTGTGCCTGGTAGCTCCTTTGGCATACAACATTTGGGAAAGCTCTTGGATCGTCAAACGAGCTGTCAAGAGTTGCTGGCCAACTAATTCAGGGGACGTCCTTCTCGAGCAGATCACCCAAGAATCGCATCCGCTTCGCCTGCCATGAGCGCATAAAGATTGCAATCAGATCTGTCTCCGATGCAAGGCTTCCTCCATCGACTGCTCAGCATAGAACCCGATCAAATGAGGCTTCCTGCACAAGCGGCATTAACTCATTGACATTGAAGAAATTCAAGCGTTCGTGTTTACACTAACTAACCCAGGCTGCACCGCAAGCTGCCCAAACTAACGTAGAAGTTCCGTCCACGCCGCAATGCCCACCCGGGGACCGCGCCCAAGCAACTCCGCTTCGGGCAGCACAGCATGCACTGCCGAGGCAGACACCTGGACATCCAAGTCGATATCTGTTGGCGGTATGGCCCCTGGCTGACATGCCTTCTTGACAGCTTCCGGCAGGCTAACCAATGACCTGTCCAGCAGCACTGGCATCATCTCGGGAACACCTGACCAACCTCACCCTGCCCTAGCACCTCCCCCAAGGACTGGCAGGCACGGCGGACTGAAGTGTTAGCAGCAACGCGATGGCCTTGGAGTCGCTGTGGCACAAAAAGCATCGGGATGATTGCATTTGAATAAACGCATCAGCTCAAGTGTATGACCAGACCCACACCGGGCCACACTGACCGTCGGTCCATGTTCACCTGCATCGAACACATTATGCCACGCTTTCACTTCACGTGCTCGATTTGCCATATCGCACCCAGAACACCTCTTGGCCCCGTCTCTTCGCAGACATCACGACAACAATAAGATGACTCTTGCTTGAACCGAAGTGCCACCATCGAACCTGTTCTACATTGAATGTTTCGATTTACGGCCATGTGCCAAAACTGACAGTGCAGTCTTCCAACACTGAAGTATGTGTCTTGTTCAACGAACTTTCTGAACAAGTGCTTGACCACAAAATCCACAAATCACTGCTGCATCCTGCGGCACCGGGGATGCTAGCAACGTTTTGCTTTGATGTCAAGGCCACGATTAAGCTTCCATGCAATGATGGTTTAAAACTATCTAAATTCAAGAGCCATGGTTTATGGCTGTTCTGGGAAAGGGAAACGCGTAGGTACAACATGGGTGTCGGAACGGGGGCGGTGCAAGGGTACGGGGGCGGTGCAAGGGTACGGTTGTATGGTGCTGGTGGTGCGGTGGTGCGGTGTATACGTACATCATGCACTGTACCACCGTACCAGCGTGCTCCTCGTTACCGTACCGTAGCGTACCACCGTACCCCTGGAGCGTACCCCGTACCGTACCACCGTACCCCGTACCGTACCACCGCACCGTACCCAAAAAACACAACCAATTTCGAAAAAAACACAACCAATTTTCCAAAAACACAACCAATTTTGCGAAAACCACAACCAAATCAAAAACACACCCAATGCACCACCGAACCCCCCCGTGCCGCACCACCGAACCACCGTACCCCCCGTTCCGTACCGCCGTACCCCCGGAGCGTACCCCGGAGCGTACCCCGGAGCGTACCCCCCGTACCCCTATCAGCCCCATCAACATGGACTCCCAGAGCATGACGGATGAATTTAGACAAGTTTAAATTGACACTTTTTGGTACAACGCGGAACTGCAAGCAAACATATCTCGCTCTCGCCAGGCACCATGCAGGGCCGGGCTGACCACCTAAAGAGCAAACACGACAAGCCACAAAAACAGACACAAGGCATTTGCATGACAACGTTTTCGCTGCTCGGCTCTTGCGGCTTCATGACTTCGCAGGGACGCGACACGTGCAGATTGCACACGTTTCCCTTCATGCAATGCTCCATATCTGAGGCATCTTGGGAAAACACACGTACAGGTCCCTGCGGGTCCCCGTTCCTTTGCATTTTACACCACACCCCGTTTGGGTTATACAATGGTGTGTAACCTGCCCTTGTATGACATCAGATCCACATCTAGCAGTGCCCGCTGTTCTCCCTCAAGATCCTCCACCGTTGACGTGGCCACACTGGGTAAAACTGAAAGTCACACTTCCTGGTGTTGCGGTCATTGGGTGAAACTTCATTGGTCTGTCTCTCTCTCTCTCTCTCTCTTTCTTACAGTCACGCGCGAGTCCACAAGTGAGACCCTCGTCAGCCTATTGAAGGGCTGTATGACAAGGTGTTGTCGTCATCCCGTGAAAAACTTAAGGTCCCTCTTAGACCTTTTCCCTTTGAAACAAGTCACTCCTAAACACAGCGGACAGCTGCAAGTCTTCTTTTTCACTCAGCTTGAGCCAAAAGTCACGGAGTGCGTCGGAGTTCACACTAAGGTGTGAAAACGAATTCAAACAAACAAATTAGCGTATTGGGCATTCAACACACCAAGATTTACGCAGTAAATCTTGTGTGATTTAAACCTGAAGCTTAGGATCCTGCAAGGAGTCCTAAAAGCTTCCACAAAAGCCAATACACATTGAGATCGTCAAGATTCTCAAATGTGCTACTGAAACAATAAAGGAAGGTTTCCTAAACCTTGGGATCATCAAGATTCCCAACCAAACCTTGAGACCGTTCCCGAAGCAAAACAACTGTCGGACAGGGATCCTTTTCACAAGTGATTACCGCATGATCGAACACCCCCCGCATTTTGCTGAGAGCTTCCTCAAAGATCTTCGAAAGACCAGCACCAGCTTGGCCCTTCTGCACTGGGGGATGCCAGGCCACATTCCCTTGGTGCGTACTCGCCACACAAAGCACAAACACCAAACACAGACCCGATCTTTGATCAAAAAACGCGCAAGCTCTGAGCTGACTCAGTACCAGTTCCAGACTGTATCCCAGCTTTTCCAGAAAAAACCAAAAAGCGTCTTCAAGCCCTCGCTTGCGCCGGTGTGATGCTGGTCCTGGCCATGCAAGTGATGCAGCGAATTTACGTGGTCGAACCTTTGGTGCACAGACAGGCGCTTGCGGCGAAGTATGATTGCCTTCAGCTCCAAGCAATTTGCAACCGAATGTTTGACGCAGGTCGTCAGCTTTGTGTAGAAGTTCAACGTGATACACTGCTACCCACACCTTACTTGGGAGCATCTCTCGCCCGCAATTCAGGTAGAACACCTTTGCAACGAGAGAATCTACCTCCAGCCCGTGCCTCAAGGGATGAATGTGCTACACTGCAGCGTCAGACTCACATGCATTGATTGGATCCCCGCGCAGAAGAAAGAGCCATTGCGCCACCGAATGCCATGGCTTAGAAACGGCTGTAGAAACCTGAGAGGCTTCCACAACCATCTCACTCAGATCCAGATTCTTGAGTCACCTCTCTGCAATACCACGAATGCCTCTTCCGTCAAGACAAACTGAGGCACACTTCCGGATGGAGTAGGTGGCGCAAGCGGGTTCCGCTGGGCTTCGTTCTCCTGCTCATCAGCCTTCCGTTTGAGTTCCTGCTAAAGCTGCTCAAGATGAGCAAGTCAAGTCAAAGAACTTGCTTCCACTCCATCTGGTGCAGCTTGCCGAAAAACGCTTAACAAGTTGTGTCCGCCAAACCAATACTGAAATGGGTAAAGATGAATAACAGATGCAAAGTGCTTCCATGGTTGGCTTTCTGTGGAAGGCGTTCAAGAGCTGTGTCTCGGTGTCCTTTCGAAACTCTGCAAAAAACCAATCAAGTTTCCATCTTAACGGTCTCAACAAACGGTTCTCCGTTTCACGCACGTGGGGATGCACTTTGTGAATTCCGCGGTTTGTGCTTCACGCACGTCGTGTGTCCCAGCTCGCGTTCGGCTGTTGTACAATGTTGCTAGTGAGCTGCATTGCCATGAAAAATTTCCGAAACTGTGCAAGATGTGGAAGATTTGTGAAGCTTGTAAGGTTCTTTTTTTGCTCATTTGTTTGCTCAAAATCGTTTTTTGACAATGGGAACTTCTACGCATCCATGAGGTCAATTTGGTGCCAAGTTGCGCTTTGGGATGAGCAACTCCGGGATGTTTGCTCATGGAAGTTTCTTCTTTTGGGATTGTAGTCTCTCTGGCTGTCTTTTTTGTGTGGTGCGAGAAGGGTGCAACTCCCGGTGTTGGTTGGAGATGCCAGATATCAGTGTTTGCAGGATGATGGATTTATTTTCAATGCTGCCAATGATTGGAGGTGAGATTTGTGTCGATGAATCAGTGTAAAAAAGCATCTTGAATGGATTACCGTGGTAAACATGGCGTTGTCAAAGTGGGCCTTTGGATTTATCCAACTACAAGGCAGTTCAGTATGAAATGGAAGTGCGACTGTCCGTGGCACAGCATCAATGTTTGAAGTATAAGGTGTATGTGCCGGTGCATCTCCTGGTGAGTGTGATCTCGCTGGTGCGAGTCCACTTGGATGATCTGAGGAGATGTTCAGTTGGAGGCATTGGTGGCCAAAGGTGAAGCGACAGTCTGTAGACTACTGCAGAAGGAGCTGCTGGACGTTGGCGTGTACGCAGGTAGTAGGCGGTGGGTGGAGCAAAGAGAGAAGGTAGAAAGCAGGTCCGTAGGCGGCTTCCAAGGCAAGCTGCAGACATTGGGATGCGTCCTTGATTTGCTTCAACTACTTGCTAACGACACGGCTTTCAAGTTTTCGTTAGTTGGTCACACGTCGTTTCGTTTCACCAAACAAGCACATTATTCGGGAAGGAAGCTCAGTCAACGTGCATGAAGGATGACAAGCGATGGGAATCGAAGAGTGTTGACAAGTCTCTCCGTCGCTTTTGCCTTGGCTGTGTGGAAAACTTTCGTTTTGTGCATTTGCTGCAACTCATGAGAGTTCAAGTTGTGGCAACTTCTGTCTCTCACCTTATCCAACACAGTGTGGTCGAAGAGGGCTGTGCATGGTATTCAGGATTATGCATCTGCGCAAACACTGCAAAACGAGTCCAGACATGGTGAGCAAAGTTGTGAGATCAGAGTTTAACGTTTAGGATTTGCGTTTTGGGCAGCCCTGCAACGACAGTTTTCGGTTCCGTTTCCAGCCCAGTCATTGCGTGCAAAAGTGGAAGGGTTGCGCCTCTAGCTTTAAACTGTTTCGAATGTTGTTCTTTTTCTTCCACCCACCAAGTCTCGGAGTTCCTCTTTGGGTTGAATCTGGGTTCGAATGCCCCTTTTCGAATCTTACTCATGTAGAACTTAAGAGTTTCTGCGCCAATAGTGTTATTTTGAAACACCAGAGATTTGCCAATAACTCATCACGCAAACAAAATGAATTTTGTTTAGGCAGATGTAGAGTTTAGAATTTAGGAGTAGCGCTGAGGTTGCTGTGGCACTGTAGGGTTTAGGGTTTAGGAAGGTTTTGCCAGTGCTATTTTAGAAGAAACGCTTCTGTTGTTTAGGACATTGAAAAATCTGTGTTTTAATCGAATTGCAGGGTTTCGTTGGTTTCACACGAATTATCTTTGTAATCGTGATGTTTGGCTGAAGCAAGCACCCTTGCCAACCCCCGCTTGTGCAAGTATTTATGCTACTTACATCTGGAAAACGATTGTGCTTTTGACACTTGCTCTATTATGAGTTTGCTTTCGCGGATGCCTCTCAATGAGCAAAATCTTCTAATCGAGAAGCGCCAACATCGAACCTTCAAAAAAACTTGGAGAGACAAAACCACGTGGAAGAACAATAGAGAAACTTTAGACAACACCCACCGCTTTTGGAACTTGTTGGCTTGCAACCTGATGGCTGGATAGTGGCCACCTTCCATCTTTCATCGTGTGCGACAGCTGGTAGTAGGCATCTTCTTTTTGGACATTTTCAGCACAGGTTTCACCCTGGCATTCCACTTCTGTACAATTTGCGTTTTTGGAGCATTTGCTTGCGGACTGAGCAATGTTGCAATAAGACGTCAGTACGCAAAAAAGGCTGAGTACCGTTGAGCAGCGAGACAGGGACAAACAAACAAAGTATGAAGTTCTCTTGAAACGCAATTTTAGCTCTGTGTGACCACATGTGGGCATTTTGATGGTTTTTGCAGGTGTTGACTGCTCGTCCTCCATCTCTGCTTGCTCCCTAATCCAGATTGAAATCACACCGATTGAAGTTCTAAGATACCGTTTCACTCTTGCGTTCTTTTCGCCGACCACCCCTAAAACACGTGCTAAACTGGGTCGAGATTCTTGGTTGGACCCTGCAAAAAGTGTGAGGAAACAGAAGGAGAGAAAGGGACAGTTAGAAATGAGAGGCGAAAAACTGAGGAAAACAGACATTCTTGCTTGATGTGATGCAGCCAAACGGCATGCTTTGGAACACTGAGCCTCGCTTGGTGTGAAAAGGGGTTCATTGTAAGTAATGAGCTCAAGCTCATTCATGGATAAGTGTATTTTTCGAGTTTTGTGTCAAGGTTTACTCCAATGCTAGTTGCGTCTTTGCGTCATTGTGGCTGTCAGCATAGCGTGCTCCGAACCACCTATCATGGGATGTTCCAGGTAGCCAAGGCTGGTCTTGGTGCGAAACATGCCTCTTTGCTTGTGAGCTTTGCAAACGAAGAGTCTAGGTGGTTCAATGTGATGGCAAGTGCCGAGCTGGGATCTCGGATGGCAAGATGCGTGCGCACAATGTTCCGGATTCCTTGCGAGATGAAGGCTTCCAGACATCGATGACAAGAAGGCAACGGTTAGATCACAATGCAGGACAGTTGTGGTTGCACTTCTTCCAGGCTGGAAGCCTCTACTCCAAGACGGATCTGCTGAAGGTTTTGCGCCGTGTTGTTGTGTTGTCGGGGCAGACGTTTTCTACTTGACAGAAGATATGTCTTTGGAGCCAGGCCGCCAATGAGTTCTTCAACGATGCGTGCCAAACTGAGCTGGTCCAAAACCTCTTCAGTATGTGTGTGCCGGGAATGGATGTTCTGCCGTGGTCATCACATGCAAAGGCTACCACGCATAGGGTTCCAAGAGGTGTCGGCTGACTTGACTTGCTTGACAATCGACTTACGACTTTCGACCCCTTGGCAGGACCATTTTTGGACCAACATTCGGATAATGCTTTGCGTCGCTTGCTGCGCCTTCGGGTGTTATGCGCAATTCGTGCTGAAATTTCCAAAGGACTGCTTGTGTCAGATGCATGGATTAAGTTTGAAGCCGCTGTGCATGAGGGCTCGAGAACTGCTTCTTGCAGGACAGATTGATGATCGGTGTCTGCGTTGCTGGCTACTTTTTCTTCACTGGCCTCGTGACGCTGATAGACATGCTTGCCAAAGTCTCAGCAAGTCCCGACGCGTTCTAAACTTGTCGATGACGTTCTTCAGGTCATCAAGACATCAGTCATTTGCATAAAGGTGCTTTCCCGAGCAGGGAGACTTGAGTGTTCGTTTTTGGCTGTGCTGATCGGAATGATGCAAGACCATTGTTGGTGACACAGTGGTCTTGGTTCGTGTGGAGGTCAGTGGTCAGACAGTCTTTGTTGACGTGACCATGCAGCCGTTCTCGCACGAGATGACAATTGGTTTGAGGCCCTTGGGCTGATGGCGTTCGAAGTTTTCTGTTGAATGCCGCAACTTCCAATATCTCAAGAGAAGTAGAAAATGGACGCGAAGCCTGTCAACTCTTCTCCTGGTGTCAGCTGTGGGTTGAGGTTGAGTGGGTGATCCCACAGCCACTGGGAGGTTGATGTGAAACGCAATTTAGGATCCTCCATGCCTTTGCAGGAATCATATTGGCTTGTCGCTTGGATGCATGAGATCCTTTCCCTTGTCTGTCTCTTGATCTCGTGCCTTCTGCTCAGCTTCTTGCGATGATATGTTCGCTAATAAGGAAAAAGGACACGCCGATTTCGCACAAGGCCATGGCTTCTCGCAACGTGTGCTACATGTAGAGGGCCATTCCACTGGCTGAGATTTGCGTGCAGTGTTGACTTCTGTGTTCCTAGCTGCTTGCAGACCTCGGTCGGGGAATACTTCGATAGCGACGGCTACTTGGGCCAAGAGGAGATCCTCGCCGCCTTCATGAAGCTGGCCGGGTCTCAAGCTGTGCTGCGGCTGTGGAATCACGAGACGCTGAGGTCAAGCGCTTTGAAAAAGAGCACGACGGCAAAGAGGCACCGTGTGCCGAGTGCTTCCAGTGCCAGAGCCTTCGCGACTGCGTTGCTTCAGCTGCAGCTGCTGGCTCTAGAGACTCTAGAATGGCTCGGCCGCTTTAGTGGTGTCATGTGAAGCCTGAACCTTTACGCAGCGGCACTAGCCGCCGGAACTCTCAAGCTTCCAGCGCTCCGTGTGATGAGGCCACTGGCCACATTGTGGGCTGGTGGTGTTGAGGCCGACCCCCTGGCGGTGTGCGAAGAGAGTCTCCGAAGGCCTTCGAGCGTTTCCGGTGAGGTGGTCTTCACGGCGCCAGTGCCAGATCCACATCGGATCCTTGGCGACCGACCCGGTGATGCCTCGTGGGTAGCTTAGCTGTGGTGCTGTGCCCCTTTGCCAAGGTGTTCCCCGAGGAGCGTCCCATGGGGAAATCCGAAAAGCTTACCTGCAGAAGGATCGACTTTCCAGGAGAGAGTCCGACTTGCTCGAGCGGAACCGAAACTTGTCTCGAAGGCCAAGCAGCTGCATCCTGACACGAGCTCACGACTCAGCCCGGCCAAGCTGCAATTCGCAAGCGTGCGGCGCAGGGTGGTGGACCAAGGTCAAGTCCCAGATTCACACTTAGCCTTTCAGCGGCTGCAGGCAGCATACAAGGCAGGCCGGTACCGGGCGGCATAGTGTGTTTGCGTTGAATCCTTATGCGGAATACGTGCGTAGAGTTTTGATTCATTCGTATGCTTTGGCAGGAATTGTCAGATGGTCGGAGTGATCCGTTCCGGGCACCAAGTGAGGCCGTTGCAGCTGAGCTGCTCATCAGCCTCTTGACAGAGTTGTTGTCTCGCACTGTCAAGGCCTCCAGACCGACGGAAGGCTCTTCTCATGGTTTCAATGCCAGGCAACGGCAGCTAAAGCCGATGTCCAGAGTTTTCTCTTGACAGTCAAGAGTCACAGGCATGGCTTTCCCGGATCCGGGCCGTATTACACGTCGCTTGCCGTTGGCTAGCTGATGCAGACTGTATCCGATGTATCTCCATGTGCCTGGTCGATGAGGCAGTACACACGTGCATCGACGTCTCCGCCGAAGTCAACGCGCTTTGCCTGCATCCACCAAAGCCTATTCAGAACAGCAGCGCGCTGTTTGAGGTGGGAGTTGCTGCGGGAGGGAAGAGCCCGGCCCTTAGGGCCTTAGGGCCCTGAGAGCCCGCAGCCTGCCTCGGCGACATGATGCCACCATGTTAAGGCTTGGAGGCGTGGCGGGCTGGTCCATCGCAGTGTGGCACGCTTCACTGTGAACCTGCTGGGATGCTGGCCGCCCTTGCCTGAAGATGTCTGCGCCATTCCCTCCATGTTGCAATTTCGTTTATGGCCATGATATTCTTGTGTTTTGATTGTTTGGTTCTTGCGATTGTCCCCTGTTTTTGCAAGGCTTTGGCTTCTTTGCAGTGCGGCCTTCTTGGCATCTCGCGGAAGGCCTGATCCAGAATCCAATAGCAATTACAGCAACAGCAACGGACACATGAACCAGCAGTGTAGATTGACAAAGAACTTGCATCGTTCTTATTAACAGCAAGGATCAGGAAGGGAAAAAATGGTTGGGAAGGTTCGCAAGACTGCCCGCATCGAGTAGCTCTTGCCATTGCAATCTGGAGGTCTTCCTTCGGGCGGCTCCAATACGATGCTGAGGGTCGGTGCCTTTCAGCATATGCCTGCAGCATCTGGGTGCGCCCTGTGGGACCTTGCTGCTCCAAAACGGGTGTCTTGTCACCACCTGCCAGGCCAGGCGTACGTCAGAAGCGGAGGCCAGGGGGAAGGACTCGGGGACTCTTGCATCTTGCTAGCTGTAGTTCCCTGAATGGCAGGGAGCTTCAGACGAGTTCCGCAATACGATGACATTCCTGATTGAGCACACGCCTCAGTCTTGCTTTGAATGTCCACAGGCAGTATGAATAGACGAAACCGAGCGACGTCTGTACTGCAATAGCTGGAATCGCCACAGCACAAGCGCCCTCATCTGAGCCGCAATCTCCCAGGCATGGAACTCTTCGCGGTTTTTCCGAGCCATGTTGGCCGCACCCTTCTCTTCTGGTGCTGTTCTGTGGTAGGGAGTCTCATGCAACGATTCCAAAGTGATCGCTTTCAAGGGAAGCCAGTGTACGCGAAGCGAGTCGCCATGTCACAGCAGGTGAAAGAAGTATTGCTACACACAGCTACCCATGGCTACACGCCATGTACATAGACCATCTTGTGGACTTCGGGATTGTTGTCTCGCAGATTCAGAGGATCAAAACGTACGTGCAGTGCATTCCAGCGTCTTCTGACTCCTCCGCTGCAACACTTGCTTCCTGTCAGGCTGAGAAGAAAAAGGACAAGTGAGATGCCAAGACCTGAAGAGGGTCTGGGTAATTGGGCTTCAAGCGACAGTCTCACTGCCGAGCCCCATCCTGGAGCGCGATGCTCCTGTCATCTTTGGTGGAGTACCCAGGACCTCTAGGACCACAGGATCTAGGATCTTCACTGGATGTGTTGCTTGGTCTTTGTTCACATTATCCCGCTTGGGAGATAGGCGTAGGGTGTGCGAAAGCTGCAGTCTCGACTGGAGCAGGTTGTTGAGACCGGCAAACCAAGCAGCCTGCTACAGTTGGACTGTGTTGGATGTAACGCTACGACCTCCGAAGCATACGCATCTTGATCTTGAGCTGGCGTTTCGGCTGGGAGAAATCTAGCGGTTGTCACTGCTATGCAGCGCACACACACAATTTCACAACAACAACAACAACAACAACACCACCAGTTCCTGCAGTGTCCAGCAATCTTAGCAGAAAGTTTCAAGGGATCGAGGTGTGCCGATTCCCTCTTTGCGAGAATTACATGGATGCAGCCTGAATGCAATGAGCAGATGTTTATCTGATTCAGCCCCGGGGCTCGGTGCTCAGGTGCTCGTCTGGTGGACGGCAGAACACTCAGCCGATTACGCTTCGAACGAAGCTTTGCTGAGAGATCACTCTTGGGAGGTTCCGGCACCGAAGCCGCATCCCTGGGACTCCGAGGCCGGGGCGTAGCGAGCCGTCGCATGGCGTCGCCGTAGCGGCGTCGCCGTCTGTCGCCGTGACCCGCGCTCCCCAGGTGATCGACTCGGAGGAGGACAGGGACCTCCTAAGAGTCCGCCTGTTCGGGGACCCAGACCACAGGCGCCTGAGAAACCTTTAAATCGATAGCACACATGAACTGAGGCAAGTTGATGGTATCGGCGTGCACGTGAGCATGGGGAAGGACAACGAACATTCCTCTCATTGTTTGGTGCCCTTCCCGTTCAGCGCCCGTTTACGTGAAGGATGTCCTGGGCGTGGCCGGATGCATTCTTCTGAGCCAGGGGCTCTGGGTAATCTCTGTTTCCCTTTTGAGCCGGGCCGGAGCTCTGTGAGCCTAGGTCATGGCTACGACCTGTTTCGTGGGCTGTGCCAGATGGAGAGCCTCAGTGAAGGAAAGGCCGGGCCCCTTCGTCCAGAAATGGCAAAGCCCTGCGCATGTGGAGCTCCAGGACTACACAGACCTCAAGTCGACGGATACACCGCCGCAAATTCTGGTGAAGCAGGCGAACCCAGCAGCTGCTTGCGAGCTAGTGCACCGCGGATGCTTGCAGGACCTGTTTGCCGCCTTGCTGTGTCGGGCCTGGGCTCGCCGTGCAGCGGTTTCGAAAGTGAGGCGCCTGCTTTACAATGAAACTTTACAAACACTACTGGAAGCCCTTGCGGCGGCCGCACGGGCCTCTGGTCCCTTCGCCATTTCAGGCCGTTGCTGCAGGACGGACGGACCCTCAGTGCCTTTACGCTTTGCGGAGCCTTAGACTCCTTTCGCTTCGCAGCATTCCAGGCCTGGCATGTCCGTTTGCAGAAGAATCTCGAATAGAGCTACGCCCATCTCTGAGCTCTTATGGAGTGCGAGCTGTGGAAGTATTGCTTCTGTGAAGTCTGCTGAGGTTCTGATGCTGACATATCAAACCACTACTACGAGTTGATGCTTGGGCGTGGACCGAAGGCAACAGCAACTCAATGAAACTAGAGCGTTGCTTCCTCCGCTTAACATCGCTATGGCGCAGGACCAGTGCCCGCTTGCGGAGAAGTACTTGCAAGGTGTTGCAAGAGATATGCGTCTAAGCCGCCGGCCTCAGCCAAGACAGTTGAATCTAAGGTTGTCGTTTGTCTACGTGTTGAAGCTGCCGTCAACTCCTAAGGTGAGCAGCCCTACTTCCAAAGCGTTCTGGCAGTGGGCGTGCCCAGAAAATGTACCCCTACAAAAAGCATGGTGTCTTTGACTTGTGGTGCAGGGGCGTTGCGATCCCAACGATTCGATTCTGAGTATTCTGAAGATGTCAGCTGCTCATCTTCCTCTGCGCCTTGATCTCTCTAACCAGGCAGGTATGAGCATGCACATCCCGCTGAAAGCTGGAAGTGGAACTGAGGTTGGACGTACCGGACGCACTGGTTCCGCTGGATGTGAGACAGGACAGCTTGGTGTACCGTGTGAAGAGTTTCCTGAATGCAACAAAGTGCTTTGGAGGAGTTGGCCCTGGGGGTCGCTTGTAAGGTGGGCAAATATAGCGAGCATGTGCGGCATGCGCCCCATTCGCTCTTCGAGGTGCTTGAGCTGATACAGGTGACTGGCCTTGACCTTTGATTTACAGTTAACCGGTGCAGACAGCATCCAGAGAGTGCTTGGTGCTGTTAGCAGCAAGCTTGGTCATTTCACCTTTCAATCCGTTAACGCGCCCTCGCTTGCGCCGAAGCAAGTGGATCATAGCTTTGCCAGCAAAAGGGATGCCGATTGGATGCCTGAATGCTTCTGACTGCTTGTGTGCCACACGTTCGATTTGTCAGTTGGCCGAGCCGGGCTCCCACGCACGCGCGCTTGAGCCTTTCGGCTCCAGCCAAAATCAGTCGAATCTCCGTGCAGACATAGAGGGTGGTGGCCATGCTGGAGGTGATGGCGCTGTTGCGGTGGATCCACACCGCCACGGGCCTGCTATTTTCTTCCCTCTTGGCCTGGAGACTCGTGCAAGAGAAGCCTGGCACAACCTGGGACAGCAGCTTGTGACTTGTGCATGTCCCGGAGCCTCAAACCGAGGCCGAACTACCAGTGGCAGGTGCCCAACATAATCGTTGGATTTCTTGTGGCGTCCAGGCAGGGTTGAGATTGAAGACTTGAAGTCCGAGCTGCACTATGATAAAGGCCATCGCTTTCCTGCGCTTGAAGAGGCGACTCCCGCTGTTTCTTTCTGCGGGTCTCCTGGTGTGGGCGGCAGTTTTTGAAGCTTGCCTTTACTGCCAGGATTTCTTCTTGTGAATCAGTGAAACAGGAGAATAGCAACATGTCAAGATTTTACTCACTCAGGTTTCGGGAGTCCCACGAACCGATATCGAGCTCGTCAACGTCGGATGGAATGTCTGCGGGAGTTCGGCCTTCTTCTCCGGACTTCTAGGCAGCGGTTTATTCAGTCTTCGACGTTGCTTTGGGATTCTTCGGATGATTTCGGACGCGAAGAATGCAGGCTGTGTCATCGCAGCCTTGTCCTCGAGAGTGGGGAGGATACTTTTTGTGGCTTTTCTGGCCTGGGTCGTTCACGAAACTTGGCCTGGACGGCAGTCGGTTGGCTCGAGAATCATGCCGGTGTCTGCCGCTGCAGTTTCTTCGCAGACTGGCAGCAAGGTACTGTCGCGTTTCCTTCCTGTCATCGTGGCTCAGGACTGGGAACTAAATCACTGACGTGTTAAGCCGATGTCTGAGCCACTTTAGTGGGCAAGTGGCAGGAGAACATACCGCGCTTCCGCCCTGAAGCTGCCATTCCAGAGACTCCACAGCTGCGTATGCAGCTCTGCAGCGAAAGCTCTCAGGAGGTGCGTGTCGCATTACGATTTTGACAGTTGGCATTTTGGTGTTCTGACCCCATCAACAGCGTGTCAGGCAGAAACCTGGCGCAAGCAAATCGGGGTCGTTTGCGAGCCGATAGTGCCTTTGACTTGGGAGGACACGTCATTAGTTGCCAAGCATAAGGATGTTCGAAGTAACAGGCTAGAGTCGAGTATGTCACTACTGTGACCGTGACGACCTGTGACGACCAGCTGCAAGCATTACAACCACTATTGCCACCACGCCTGGCGACACCTACGACGACAATAGCCGCTGGTTATTGTAGAGTAGCACACGTGTGTGCGAAGTAACAATCGCAACGGCGCAGCTGCCTTAGCACTCTGGTCCAAGCTCGGCGCTTAAGCTTTCTCTTTAGCCTCCTTTGTGCCTTCGGCGATCATGGCATCCGACCCTCGCACCATTGCGGCGGACTTCGCGACGATCCTCAGCGCCGCTCGGCGCATGGG